AGATGTTTGTAAACATTGGGTCAGAGAGGACTGCATAAATATATGTTATCAGGATCATAGGTTCCCCATATATATATCATCATAAGCATAAGCAACACATGAAAAAGGGGTCCTATGTTCCCCAGATGTATATAGCAAATAAGGAACTCATGAAAATGGATCTGTTCCCCATATGTATATCACATAAAGAACATATGAATAAGGGTCCTATGTTACACATATAATAGCACATAAGGAACACAAGAAAAAGGGTTCTATGTTTCCTGTGTCCTTTGTTCACCAGTTCAGTGGTCTGTTAAGACATCAAGTTCATCAGATCAAGACCCCTGTAGACTTCGTGGAGGACTGTTATGAAATCATTTGGAAAGTTTTTAGAGAAGTAGATGTTCAGTGCAGCTGGCTAAGTGTATATGATAACTGAATCTTGAGTGATTAGATATTAGCCTATTTGGGAAACATGGGACCCTGGGAGCAACGATACCAACTGGGTATAATCACAGTATGATTCAGCGTCCACAATTAGACAAACACGTGACGAAGCACTTCAAAGGGGTAATGGCAAGATGTGGAAAGATGTGATTTCTATAAAAGTTGGCTGTAGAAAGCTGTTTTTAAAAAATAGGCGCTGCACAACTAGAGAAAACAAAGAAATGGTTGTGACGAGAAAAAGGGAGGAAACACCCATAATGCACTGGGCTCGATAAAACTATCCATAGACATAATAAATGTATTGGCCCTGTCCCAAATGGCATACTTCATGTGTATTTGTGCTCTTGCACACTTCCAGTGGCTGCCGTGTGTGTGTATCAGTCCACGAGACCGTAGGGTGTCCCATTCACCATTTTAGCTTTTAGAAGGGTGCTCGCAAGCGCCCCCTTTGCAGACGCTGTGCACCTTCGATGCTCACTTCTGCCGAGCCTGCACTGAAATGAGCTCTGCAGCAAACTTCTACCCGACAGTCAAAGCAGCATTACATCATGAAAGTGTGGACTCAAAGGAAGGGTGCTTCTCAAACAGGAGGACACATCCTAGTAAGGCTGCATATCTTAGAACAGGGGTTCAGGTTCAGAGTTGGAACTGAACTCTACATGTAGGTAGATCTCCAGGAACAGGATTGGGCATCTCCGCCTTAGAAGGCCTGGTCTAGGAAAGACCGTTTGAGAAGCACCTGAAGACAGGGCCATAGATACCTCATTGGCCACATTGGCCAATTGCTGAGATTCGTCAATGAACTACATTGATACTGGCAAGACTGTGTTATAAAAAAAATACAAGTAAACAGAGGAGCTGCAGTTTTTTTCTGGATAAAACAAAATTTGTTCTTTCTCCGAGGTTTTTTCTCCATTCTGTCACTGATGGAGTTTGGGTTCCTTACCACTGTTGCCATTTAGTTTGCTTAATTGGGGACACTTAATATTTGGCAATATTATTGACTTATTGACTATTGGATGAGAACTGAACTGAACTGATTTGGGTGATTACATCACTCTTTTCTCCATAGATGCTTTATAGATCAATTAAACTCATTTCATAATTGATGGACTTTTCACAGTTACTGAACTGAACTGAATCAACAGTAAACTGATTTCAACTGAATAATGTCAGTTTATATTGTCTTTATAAAGTTGCTTTACAGCAAAATTGAATTTTGTTTGTATCACTGAATCACTGTTTTGTTTATCACTAAAGCTGCTTTGAAACAAAGTGCATAAAATGAAATAAAGTCTTTTTTATTGTGGAAATGACTTTTTCTGTCTTCAATCCCAATATCTTAGCTTTTCTTGAGCTTTAGGTGAGAACACAGCTCATTCCCTTTGAAATACCGGGAAACATCAAAATAATACATATTTAAGTACTGATAATAACTGACCATTATTGAGAAAATGGAATAAACTCAGCAAATACACATCAAATAGTGACACACTGGCAGTCTGCTTTTAATTATTTTATAGCACTAAACAGATACAGATACAGTTGTGCTCAAAATTATTCATACCCTTGATAAATATGATCAAAGAAGGCTGTGAAAATAAATCTGCATTGTTTATCCACTTGATCTTTCCTAAAAAATTTAAAAAACTAACCTTTAATTAAAGTAAAAAAAAAAAAAAATCACATTATGAAATAAATATTTTTCTCTAATACAGTAAGAGGATGTGTGTCTATATCGTCCTAATGCACGGTGAGGAGGAGAGTTTGAGTGGCCAAAGACTCCAAGGATCACAGCTGGAGAACTGCAGAAAATAGTTGAGTCTTGGGGTCAGAAAGCCTAAAAAAAAACAACAACAAAAAAACAATGTTGTTTGGGAGGGTTTCAAGAAAAAACTAGAAAAGAAAATGCTCTCATCCAAAAACAAACTCCAGCATAT